CCCCTGCAAAGTCCTGAGGTCCACAGCAAAGGGCCAGACATAACTGACATGAAGAGGAAGAAAGGAAGTACTGTAAAGATTCACTGTACAGCAGGCTGCGCTGGTCACTTCAGCAATCACTGCCATTTAAAAGGCTCTGATGATGCTGTGGATGGCTCTTATTATCCCATCTTACAGAGAAGGAAACCCAGGCTCTTAAAGGCCAGGTCACGGAGCCACGTGGATCTTGAAATGGGTCGAATGTTAAAGAATTAGGAAGACACAGTAAAGGGAAGCAGTCACTTAATGGTACTAAATTAGAATGCAATGTATAAGTATTAACCTGAGTCCTAAGATACATAGATTGCCCTCAGGTGGTGATTCTCCACCCCCCAAAAGAATTTTTTTTTCCTGTTCACTTCTAGCTCGACAGATTTATAAATATTATCATCTGCTCTTTCAATCTAACAAATCCTAATTATTTCCAGTCTTAAATACCAGAAATGTATTAAACAGTATTAAATCCTGAGAATTTAGTCAAATCCAAAATCCTAACATTATCACCCAAGTCAGAGAGTTCTTTGTAATGTACTAAAACACATTCTCTCCAGATTGTCTTTCTCCTAGTCACACACACACACACACACACCAAGTCAAAACCTGCCTCTAATTATTACACCTACTCTGTAATGAATGAACGCAAACAGTGGGGGTAAACACCTTTGAACATCAGGCACGCGAAATCTCCTACGTGTTACCTTACATGCCTCGGCCCATTTGCTAACACAGGTCCCAGATGAAAGGTGCTTCTTTTGGGCTGCAGTGATAGGCCCCACACTCCTCTTGCAGGACGCACAGCCTCACGCAATTTGAATCTGCAGCCATTAAGATGAAACTTCAAGGTAAACACACTAAGACTTAGGAAGTCTATGTGGTGTGCAGGTTTTCAGTCTAGGTGGAAAACACAGCTTAGGAAAGAAGATTGCCCATGAGCTGGAGGCTTGGGTCCCACTGTTAGATCTCACCTGTTGGGTTTGCAGGAATATCCAGGAGGGTCTTCAACAGCTTCATATCTTTAATGTTGTGTATATAAATGGACTCCTCCAGGCACACCAGCAGCCTCTGTAATCACACAGACCCATCAGTCTCCCACACCGGTTCCTTGTAAAAGGCCCCCAAATCCACATCAAATGCTTCTCCTCCTTATGAGTCCTAACTTGAGTCTATGCGTAAAGGAAAAAGAATTTTGATGATGCCTTTTGAAGATTATGTTTATGTATTTACATGTACATGCACATGCACGCGCAACGCACGCGTGCGCGCACACACACACACACACACACACCATTTTCCATTGGAACAGAAACTTAAACTATAAGATCCTAAGAAATTTTATTTAGAAACTGGGTTTTCTCCTTCCATCCTTTGGTATTTCCCTTTAGAACAGGGATATCTGTACACTTGAGTGAAATCCTCTTTTCACTTAAGACAATTTTGGGTAACCACCTCCATTCTTATCCCCACTTGACAGGATGACTTTCAATAATGGTAACAAAGTTCTCCCTCTTACACAAACGAGGATTTCTTTGCGCTTTCTGTATAGCCAAAATTTCACCCCTCTCCAAATTCATGTGGAATATCCTGAATGCAAAAAATTTGAATGTGCCAGTGAAGTTTGACCTCCAGCGCTAGAGACTTTCAGATCTAGGGACATTTTAGATTTTGGATATTCAGATTTGGGATGAACAACCAGCAAAGCCTATGCCCATATTTCAAAATCTGAATAACTCTGAAATCTGAAACACTTCTGGTCCCAAGCATTTTGGATAAGGGATGCTCGACCTCTAATTACCAGCTCTGCCTTCTTTCCACTTCAACTCGCCTCCTGAACCACCTCTGGGCCATTCCCTGAGCCCTGGTAAAGGGAACTGGTGACTCCCTAGGCCCTCACCTTGAGGTCCCCCCCTGACCCCAAACCCAGGGCTCCCCTGGGATCAGCCCCACCCTCGGGCACTCTCTACTCCTTTCCCTTCAGATGCTGGCTGGTCAGGTTCAGCGTCTCTTCCCGACTGTGGTGCTCTGCTTTGGGGCACGTGATGTGAGTCTGGGTGCAGGTGCAGGTGTTGGGGCTGGGGAGGGGGTGCAGAGAAGGCAGCTTCCCCCTTCGGAGCAGCTGCCTCTGCCCCCTGCACGCCTGACTTGGCTCCCCAGGCTGCAGCTTCTCAGGCTCCGTTGAGGACCAGAATCCCTCAAAGAGCAAGCCTTGGACTCTCCCCTGGAGGTTCCAGTTTGGGGCATCTCTCAACGTGTACCCCAGGTGATTATGAGGCCCAGTCAGTTTTGAGAACCACTGTTCTCAGCCAGTTCCTTTGATTCCAAGCACATCAGTTACCAAAAAACACTGCAGAAAGGTGGCAGGCTCTCCTCCCAGGAAGCCTCTTCACAGCTCAGAAAAATGGAGACTGTTGACTTTAACCAGGCAGAAAAATAAAGTTCAAACATTTTTTTTCTATTTGAATGAAGGCCTGAGACTGAGTGCTGAGAGGTAAAAATACCTTTAACAGGGTCTCAACACTGATGACAAATATTAGTATTTCTCCGTGAATATTCAGTATCTGATTACCCGATGTCTTTGCCGGTCACCAGCCTAGGCCCTGGAGTGCCTGATATTACTCTATGGCTGTTTAGGTCCTGAGGTTCCCGAGTCCTCCTGCAGCTGTGCCTGGCCCCGCCGGGTCCCCAGGACAGCAGGGCCCAACAGCGCCTGGAGCAGGCAGCCCCTCCTCAGAGCTTGTCTGATGCTCTGCATCCTTTCCCACGGGCTGCAACAGCACCATCTGCTCTGTGTCCCACTCAGCTGAATTTCAGGTCACCCCCACGCTGGCTGCAGACAAGAATAAAAAGGGAGAGAAGCAGACAGAAGCGTGGGAGGAGGAGGTGCTTAGCGCCAGAGCAATTGAGGTTGAACCAGCCTGGTAACTGTATTCTTAACCATCTCAACCAGAACTCGGCCAGTCTCAGCAGAACCAGGGCCTTGTTTCAGCTCGGCCTGTTACTCTGACTTCTATCTACTTTTCTACATTTTATAAATCATCACTCCTATTTATTTGTTTATTTTGTTATCAGGGATTCAACTCGGGCACTTGACCACTGAGCCACACCCCCAGCCCTATTTTGTATTTTATTTAGAGACAGGGTCTCACAGAGTTGCTTAGGGCCTCACTTTTGCTGAGGCTGCTTTGAACTCTTGATCCTCCTGTCTCGGCCTCCTGAGTGGCTGGGGTTACAGGTGTGCACCACCACATCCAGAACTCCTTTTTATAAATTAAGAAAAGTTTACCGAATTTACCTTTGAGCACCAGAGACTTAGCCTCAAAGGCTTCGGTCTGATCAATCTGTAGTTGAATTGCAGGGAGCAGATGGTCAAGGAATTGTAAAAGTTTGTGTTTCTAAATATATCTTGTTTATTGTCTTCATTCTACAAATACATTTTCCAGTTAAATATAAGGGGAAATAATACCAACTAAAAATGACACACAATTCCTAAGTATTTTTTTCTTTCTTTATATTTAGAGGAAAATGGGGATTTTATTTCCTTATAACTCCTATGCACATCTGTAATTTCCCCTGGCGTTTTAGGACTGTGTGCCTGAAGATGCCGGAGTGGGCTGACTACTGCAGGACAGACGCACCAACTTCCCCCTTTTCATTTCGCTTGGGTGGTATCTCTGCAGGTGCCCCCCGCTCCCCCACCCGACCTGCCAAGAAGAGGCTGCAGCCCTGAACTGCCTAAGCCAAAGTTAAGTTCCAAACCTGGACGTTTTAAGAAATGCACACCTTAAACACTTTCCAGATCTGCTTCAGCTAATTTCCTTAGGAGAAGAAATGCTCAAGGAAGGATGACCGGTAGGTCTGGCTGTCCTTGAGCCTCTCCTGTTCCCCAGATGATGGGGGATAAGAGCCTGAAGTTGACAAGTACTTTACTGAGCAGAGGCTGGTGCCTAAAGGTTGACAGACACTTGAACAATCCTTCCTTGTCCCGTTTGCTAATGAAAATACCAGGGAGGAAGAGAGAAATCATACAAGTAAATACAAGACATGCTATTTGAGGGTTCTGATCTCTATAGAACATTTGACTAAGCAGTCTCAAAAAGATAGTTAGGTGCCAAAAAAAAGAAAAAAAGAAAATTAAATACTGGCCACTAGTCTATGCAAAAGTAAAAATTTTGCAATAAAACTTAACATGCTACTAACAGATCTAAGAGAAAGCACTGGAGCCAAGAATTCTGCTTAAAAGCCTTCAAGTAGAAAACTTGCAACTTCCTTTCCCTCCCTTGTTGAGGCCTGCACTTCTTTTCTTCTTCCCTGAAAAGCCCCCATCTTCCACTTCTCAGGCCATCTTTACCAAACCCTGCTTCCTATGGACTTCAGTGGAAAGATAGTCAATCACAATAGCTGGTTGACTCAAAGCCACAATCTCTTCCTTCTCAGAAACTCAGGAAAGCACCTCATTTGTCTCATTTAAAAAAAAAAAATTAATCGGCACTTAATAGTTTAGATGCAAAGAACGAAAAAACATTGTCCTCAATGAATGCCGCCATCTCCCTTTTCCTGGGTACTTCATTGAACACAAGGCTCTGAAAGCTTACACAAAGGGTCTCTTTATTTATTTATTTAATAGCCATTCAGGAAACAGGTACTTAGGAACCCTTTTCTTGCAAGTCTTCCAGCAGTGAATTAAAATACCATGGGCCCCTCATAGGATATAAAGTCAGTAATTCCAAGGAAAATTTATTAATATCCCAATTAACAAGAATTGATATTTTAAAGGGGATACAGTACATATTTGAGATAAGAATGATCCGACCTTCAACAAAGAAAACGCTAAAAGAAAACATCTTTAAGGGTCAGTTGGAGAAGGGAAAATGGGAACAAAACTGGCCCCACCAGGAAAGCCCATGCAGATGGCTGAGGAGGGTGGTCACATTGACTGGCTGCAGCACTAACCCAGGAGGGACCATGCTTCACGCAGACATCTCGTCTTCAGAGGCTTGGCTACCATCTGCAATGAATGCCACTATCTAGGGCCAAGACCAGAAGAGTCACTCCTCTGGCTTAAGGTGTCCCTGTGGTTGCTCATTAGACAGACCCAAGCCAGAGTACTGACCCATCCTTACTCGTGTCCAGCCTGCACCCAGGGGAAGGTGCACCTACCAGCCAGTGGCCAACACTGGCTGAGAGAGAACAGGAGCCAATAAAGACCAGGGAAGATGCATCACTAAAACCAGCACATGGAGTAGGCACTCTTCACGCTGCCCACTATGACATGGGGCTGCGTGTTAAAACCCTCTTCAGTGGTGTGTGTTTTAAAGACAGTCCTCTTTGAAGATGTTCAACATTTCTTTGGCTCCAGTGAGCAGAAGCCTCAAAAGCCTGGGGAATTTATGGCCTCCTTACCTGCCGGTTCAGTCTTATGGACAAGATGTTGCTGGAGTAGCTGTAATTACAGATCTCTGTGCCCTTCTTGAAGTGATACACATTCATCTGCCGGGGTTTCGTGTGACTGACCACCACCACCAGGCTGCTGGAGAAGAGGCGCTCCACAATGTACACGTCAGGGATTTCATCTGGGAGGGAAAGCAGCGGCAAGGTCTCAAGATGGATCGCTACATTGGGCACAGTGTATGCAGGGGCACTAATGGGCTCGAGGTCTTGCTGACTGGGTGCCCTCGGTCAGCACACACTTACGGTGACCCACCTCCCCCAAGGGAGTTTTAACCATGTCCCAGGGCAGCGCTTCTAGTCCTTTCCTTAAATATCTACAGCAAAGAAGACACTAGTGACTGGGTCACAAACTCAGGATCTCCAGAGCTACTTCAGGTGTGTTGTGCACAGTGGAATCACCTCTCCAGGCCCAAGGGCTCCACTGTTTGCTCCATAAAGTACATTTGGGAGGTTGGAACAATCTCAATCTATCCTTGCCCTGTGAAGGTTTTGAAGGAGTGATTACCTGGAAGTCCCTATATTTAGAGTCTTGTCCTGCTAGAGGGATACCACTCTTGAGAGCTGGGACAGTAACACAGTTAATTCTGTACCCTCTCCCCTTGTGCTGTGCTGTCCCTCCCTCTCTGGAATCCCTAGCCTATTGAAGACCACCTGGACATGAGTATTATGATCAGGAAAGTACTACTGTTCTCAGGAGTAAGGTAGATCAGTAAGCCTTCTGAACATCAACAGGTAAGGTGTCTTTCTGAGACCACCTGGTCACATGTGTGCCTTGCTTGCGCTTGGGCAAGTCCCATAGGGAACAATATGAGGTGCATACAGAGCAAAATATTCACAAAAATGGTTTGTTAAAATAACTTCTTAGAAATAAATTAGGAACCCAAAATATTATTCACTAAATCATTTTCTTCCCAGGAAACCGAAAGGCTGTGTATTCTTCACTATCATGATGGTATTCAGAATTACCCAGAGAAGACCAGAGAGTCATATCAATAAGCTGTATTATTTTTAATATTCACTAGAAATAATTCAGCATCTAATATGGGCCCTGTAAATAGCATAGCATTGCTTTATTGAAGCAAATGAAATTCCACCCTGATTGAATGGGATCAACATTCTGCAGTGCCAATAAAATGTTGGGAAAGAAGTCACAAGTGACCTTTTGGTTTGACAATTAAAAAAATGGATGACTGTGCATACAAGGATATGGAAAAGTGTCAGCAATTTGATTTCAAATGAAGGGTCTCTTAATCAAGAAAGCAAATGTTACTTAAGCTGGTGCCAAATTTTAAGAAGAGCTTCCTCAGGCTTTTTTTTTTTTTAAAGCAAGTGTATGCAGGCCTGCAAAATACTGACTCCTTAAGTTTGATGATTAAGGGAGTGAAAACCAGAAGGCTGAAGATTAAAGTCTAGAGAGAGGATTTGGTTGTCCCTGAGATCACTCTCTTCTCCTCCCCCCACCGCTCTCTCACACACACTTACTGCTTCCATGGACTTGGTCCAGTTGCTCCACAGAACTCAAAGAAAACAGCTTGTAGCCAGCTTTGGTTCCAATTGCTAGGGATCTGGGGAAGATAATGACAGCGTGGGAATTACAACAGATACTGTATTACAACCACAGATCCATCTGAAAAATAGATACCCCTTTCTCCCTAGGCTCAGAAGATGCAGGTAAACATCCATCTTCAGGGGCTCAGATCCTCTGTAACTTTCTAAATGGCAAAACACACTGTGGCAAGCAGTCAGGTACAGTAAAAGGAAAAAGATCAAAAGCCATATACACACACACACACACACACACACACACACATATATATATATATATATATGAGACACTAGATTCTGCATCTATATGTGTATATATATTATATATGATATATATGTGTGTGTGAATAGTATATATATATAAATGGTGTAGAGATAGAAACTGCCTGGGCTTTGTCATCAAAGTATGGAACTTATCAGAGATGACATTTGCCCAGCTGGGCAGGTACAGGAGAGATGGAATGTTTACTACTCATAATAGCTACTCATAATAGCTCCCCTTGCAACACATTGTTGTTTGAGATGCACTTTACCAAGAGATAAATTATTTTTTAATGACATTTTTGTTTTTGCATTTTAAAAAGAAACACATGTGCCTAGTAGAGTAGATCATTGGTAAGTAAAATTGGATAGATGCTTCCTTTTATCAGTTTCCAAGAAAATATCCCTGACAAAGTATATAAAGTACTTTATAAACTTATAAACTCAATTGGGGAGCTTAACTGAATTTTATTTTTTTAAGTTCAAGTACTCATGTGCAGCCAGGATCGAGAACTCTCCTTTGTGCTATGTACTATAAAGCTATTATTACAACTAACAAATAAAATAAAAACTAAATACTTATCTAGTTCAATGTGGGCTTAAAAAAAAAAAGAAAAGAAAAATCTAGTTTTCTTAATTTTCTACTTTCAACCGGTGGATGAAAGCAAGGTATGATTTCAGATTTTCTTGTTCTCATGACAAGAGCAAAACAGGTTAACTTTGTCCAGCTCCTGGGAATCCCCACCCAGCTCCCTCCCTCTGTGCTCTCAGCATTGCATGGATGACCAGACACTTGCACAGAACAAACTCAGAATAAGCAGCCTGACCCTGGGCACTTCCACCCTCAGAAGGTGGGATGTCAGAATTGAAATGGACCTTAAAATGGTTTAGTCCGACTCCTTCATTTTCAAACAAATATATGCAAAGGTGAGCTTCGTCCTTCCCAGGGACACAAACATTAAAATAAGACACGTACAAGCCAGGGTGCCAAGGCTCTGGTTTCACCATCTTAAAAAAGAGGTCACATGATTTTTCCCTGGAATTTTTTTTCCCCCCATCCAAACATTAGCTCTTTCCTGAGACACAGGGACAGGTGATTACAGTCAACTTTTGATCAACAAGGTAGCTGGTTCTTTCCTGTAGCCCTCCCCATCACCGACCCGTTGAATAGCTAAAATGGTATCTAAATATTTGCATGACGGCAGTAGTACAGTTAGAAGTGGAGACTGGTGTCCAGAACCGCAGACAAAACAGAACTGTAAAAAAGCGAGGAGCCAGGTGCAGTGACACTCTCCTGTAATTCCAGTGCTCAGGAGGCTGCAGGCAGGAGGATCGCAAGTTTGAAGCCAGTTTCTGCAACTTAGGGATACCCTGTCTCAAAACAAAAAATTTAAAAGGGGGAGATGGAGCTCAGGGCTAAAGTGTGCCTGGATTCTATCTCCAGTACCAAAAAAGGCAAGCAAGTGAGGAATATCTTAGAACTTGAAAATATATTCTCTAAAGATTACTAAATTTTCTTAAGTTTTTGCACCTACATATAGACACATTTAGTTGCAAGCTAAGGTTTGTAAAGCTTGTAAAGAAAAATAAAATACCATAACTAGAGTCTTATAAAATAATAATTAATTAATTAAATTAATTAAAAGATTTCTTTTTTTTTTCCTTGGGTGGTGCTGGGGATTGAATCCAGAGCCTTGTGCAAGGCAAGCATTCTACCAACTAAGCTTTACCCTCAAGCCCAAGATTTAGCAACTTTTAAAGTAATTTTCAAAATGTAAGCCCTGATCCTAGAACTGAAGAATTTTGGTTGTTTTGGTTTCTGAGACAAGGTCTTGCCATATTGCCCATGCTGGTCTCAAACTTGTCAGCTCTAATGATCCTCTCACTTCAGTCTCTGGAGTGGCTGGGACTACAAGTATGTAATACTGTGCCTGGCTCAGAATAATTTTATACATGTTTTAATGTCTACTGAGACCCAGAATCAAGGAATTAAGACTTAGACCTTATTTATCCATAAGACCTTCCAACAGAAACAAAATTATTTTTTTCATAATATTGAAAAATTGATATTTGACAGACAACTTCTGAATTAATGTAAATGACAATGAATTGCATATATAGTCATTCAAAATATTTTCACTAAGCACTAAGTAGAATAGAAAATTCTTATCACTGTTCATGGGAATGGAGTTTGAGGCAAATACATATCACTAATCAAATTTAAAAATATATCCGAGGTATATAACATAGGGCCAAGCACAAAGTTGTAACATAGGACACTAGTAAGGATTGGTTCTCTGTACCCAGCTTTTCTAGACATACTGGATTCTAAACTCAGCCTATATTTATAGAAAAAGACACATTGACATCTCTGAATACATTCAGTAAGGGGCTTGACTTATTTTAAAATCCAATGTCATACCTTCCGTGGCTCAAATTGACTGTGTCAAGGACTTTTATTTATAGGTGAGACAGAGCTGCCCAGCAGAATCTTCATCCAAGAAAAGACGACTGACAGTAGGAACTAAGGAAGTTAATTTTCAAAGCACCCTACAGTTTTGAAAATAACATTCAGATCCAATTGCTATAGAAAGCTGGAACTGACTCTAGAATTATTTAATAACTGCAGCAAAGAACTGTATATATTTTTTCAAATTTAATAATATCACAATGCAGAATTTGGAATATTTACTACTTAGAAGTAAACTAACTGCTTTCCTTAACCTGTGTTTAATTGAGAAGAAAAACATCACCCAGGCATTTCAACAGACACACTCTCTTGCAAAATATTTCTTACAAAACTTAAGAATTTTATCTGTTCTATCATGTGGGTTTCAAGCCATGTGCAGATCTTAAAAACAGTTCGGTAGATTGCAAGCAGCTTAAAAAAAAAAAGACATGAAAAATACCAAAGGGTATTGCACATAATATTTGCAAATATTTTACTATATGGGTATTGGGAGATGTTCTAATATGTGATTTTTATTGTGGGTTGTGGTCAAAAAAAAAAGCTTGAAAGCCATTCATCTAACCAAGCTGTCAAGCTACTTGATTACACATTACAGTTTTTTTTTTTTTCAAACAAAGGCATATTGTTCAGTACACGGTGTTTTTAAACAAACACAAAGGGAAAGGCAACCAGGGCTGCTTATGGTACTCGATGGCCTTAATTACACCACTGAATGTTCAATATTAGCATAGCTCAGCTAGTCCCCTGACTCCAGACAAGGAACACAACAGAAACTGGTACAGCAGGAAGTGGGAAACAGGGAAGTGGCCATCCCTGCCTGATCTGCCTGATGCTCTGGGTGCACATTCCAAAGAGATTATTCCATATGGTCCCCAGGACTGCTGCCATGAAAAGAAGGAAAGAAACAGGCCTTTGCTTCTAAGACAACCCTGCATATGCCCAAGCACAGTTCAGTAATCCCCAGTGCTGTGACCAAAGTCCAAAAGTGAACACCAAAGTGAAACATTAAAAATCTACTCCAGAGCAACAGGCTGGAGCTCCAGTTTCCGGGAGAGAAAGCAGTCAGGGCCCAGGAAAGGGCCCCTGGACTCCCAGAGGGGATTCTGCGTGGCTGGCTGGGCAATGGGAAAACAATCAGAGAAAGGAAAAGGTTTCTTTCATCTAAAGTGGCCAGAAAAGATGCTCTGCTCTGGGGCTGGCCTGGCCGCCGGGATAGGCTGCCTCTTAGAACGAGGCCCTGCCCAGATGCCACGTTGAGATGCTCAAGGACAAATGGGAAAGTTTTTCCTGTACTCCCATCTTCCTGGGCCCTAACTACATCGTCTCCGGTTAGCTTGCGACTTTCCCCTCCACTTCCATCTCCTTTGTTTTGGATACTGCCCCTCCTTCTCAGAACCCCCACCCTTAGGTCACTAGCTTTCCCACCGCCCTGTCCTTCTCACCCCCCACATTCCGTGGCCTCCTCAGCTCCACTCCCTTTGCTAACTTCCTCCCTTCATCCTGTCCAGCCTCTCGGCAGGAGGGGGGGTGTCGCGGTGGATCAAGCCCCACCGAGGGAGGGGGCCAACAGGACCCCGATCCCTGCGATGCAACAGCTGGCAGTCCTGCCGAGGCCCTCTGGCTGGCAAGCCCGCGCCTCTCTCGCCACCGGTCGCGTTCTGGACACCACCCTGAGGTCGCCCGCGGCGTTCTGTTTCCCACTTCCCCGGCAGGGGCTGGCGCCGCAGCTTACGTGCAGTCTTGGTTGAAAGAGAAGCAGCTGAGCGCCGCCTCGACCCCGCCTGGGGGCACGTCCATGGCCTCGGCCTCCATCGGGGGCTCGACCCGGGAAGCCGTAGCTCGGAGCCGGCGACAGCCACCTCAGCAGCCCGCCCGCGGCGGCTCCCGGGGGCCGGGGAGCTGGTCACGCCCACCCCGAGCCCCGCCCTCGGTTCGCCCCGCCCACTGGCCTGGCGGAACCGAGCAGCTGACTGGGCGGGGCTCTTCAGTCAGCCACCATTGGCCATGAGCCCAGGCCGCGGCGGGCGAGCTCCGCCCCCTTGACCAATCCGCGGCGACTGTGGGCGGAACCGTCCTTCTAAAGACCCGCCCCCGGATCGGCGACTGGGCTCTCCATTGGTCGAATGTGCGTGAAGCCGAGGCAGCAGGCCACGTGGTAGTGTTTTCATTGCCAGAGCCACCCAGCTGAGAGCGAGGAGCCCAGAACTGGAGCAGCTGTGGGTGGACCTGCCGGCTGTGGTCTGGCGTCTGCGTCAGACCGCCGCGAGGACACAGGCGGACGCGCTGCTTCCCACCCCACCCAAACCCCGGTCATGTGCAACCCTTTGCCTATTAAACTTACGGAATTTAGTAGACAGGGTTAGACGCCAAAGCCCCACCCTTTTGCAGAGTCCTTACACTGCTTTGAGAAAAGTTCCCCAAACAGAGCTGCTAGGCAAGGCAGATAGGAAATTATCTATTGTGCAGTTGAAAGATCTTACTAATGCCAAGCACTGCGTTAACTATATATGTTATCTTGTTGAGTTCTAATGGAACCCTGTGTAAAAAGTATGATCGTACCCAATTTATAGAAGGAGCTATTGAAGCCCTGAGTGGCACAACAATTCATCTAAAGTAACAATAGATGATAGAATGTGTAGTTTTCTTTCAAGATCTGTGCGCCAAATGACTTTGCTAACTGTGTTTAACAAGAGCTGATTTGTAGCTGCAAAAATGAAAGTATCCTAGGATGGAGTAGTTTGGGAAAGGGATAAAGTCTCCAAGAGGTAGCCAATTAGAAGCTCTTGTAATTCGAGATGAATTCTGACAAAGGATTTTTCTTCCCCAGGCTAAATGTGTGTTGCACCTGTATGGAATTACTCTTAAAACGTTTTGCGAATTGAAAGTTCTGCCAGCCTTGGATTTATAATTCGTGGCCAATTTTTAATTCATGTCTTCAAATTTTAAGATGGAATAATTCTAATGATTGTTATATCGCAAAGTTTTAGATTGATGTAGTTCAGATTTACCCAAATTATGACAAAATTATATATATTCTTAGAATGAATGAGCAAAGAACACTATATCACATAAGTGTTTCTGGTTAGATTTCTGGTTTGAGTTTTCTGAGATGCAAATGTAATAGTTTCTTTTCTTAATTGATATGTAAAAACAAAGTTCTCTGGGGGCTAAGGTTGTGGCTCAGTGGTAGAGGGTTTGCCTTGCACATGTGAGGCACTGGGTTCAATCTTCAGAACCATAAAAAAATAAATAAACAAAATAAAGGTATTGTGTCCATGTACAACTAAAAGAATGTGTTTAAAAAACAAACAAAGTTCTCTGTAGATGCACAGATGATGATTGCTCCTTTTCCAGTTGTGAAGTATTATATAGAACATTGTAAGTGAAAAGAACTGCTGTTTGGATCTTTGTAGTTTTTAAGATCAAAGGTGCTTCTATGCCCTTCTCCCAGCTCAGCCAAATACTGCAGTCCTTTCTGTTCTATTTAGAAAACTGAGTCTGGCATGCTAGGTGATAGGTTGTTGGGAGAATTACATAAAGTACATAAGGTTTTAAAAGAGAAGCTATTACCAGTTTGTTATTAAGAGTTTGGAATTTATGGGGGTAGAGACGAAAGCTTCTGTTGATCAGGAGTGCTTCATGATAAAAGCGGTGTCTTAGGAAGATAGAGATCGCCAGGGTGTGCAGAACAGATTAGAAGGGGAAGAACGCCTAGAAGTTTTTAGGGGACTGATGCAACACTCTGCGAATGAAAGTACTTGAGAGGCTAATGTGATGATAGTGAGGCCAGAAGGTTAGGAAAATTTTAAGAGATGTTTTGAGGCAATGCTGTCCAACAGAAATACAATATAGGCCGTACATCTGAGCTCCATAAGTAATTTTATATTTTCTAAAAGATACATTTAAAATGGTAGAAAGTAAGTGGGCAAATCAATTTAATACTACATTTATTTTTTTAGCCTAACATGATGAAAATGTCATTTTGTCACCAGAGAGGGTCTGAGGAAGTCTTGGAGACAGGAATCTCAACTCAGGATGACAGGGTCCTTGACGTATGTGACGGAGAAGAATTTTAGCCTGCGTCAGATATTGAGGCACATGGTTTATCCAGGAAATCAAGAAATACACAGTTCAAGGGACAATGAGGGGCCTCTTGGGACTGTGAGATGCTTTCGAGGTTCTTAGGTTGTTCTTCTAAAGGAAGAACAACCTAAGAACGGCAAGGTATGTGGGGATGATATCAGCCTGATGGCAGGATGGTTTATGGTGGTCTGATGGTTCCCAGGATGCTTAGGTTGATGTCTTCTCCATTTGCTGGTCAGTTGATCATGTTGGGAGAGTAAGGTATATCATAGGCTTCTAGGAAAGTACTCTACATTATAGGTTCGATATCCCCTTTGATCAATCTATTCTAAAAGTACATGTATTAGTGGGATAATGAACAGTGCACAGGGCAGTTTTTACAAATGGGTGAATTACCAGTAACTTGAAGATTGTGAATGAAAATTTGTAGATGTGGGAGTAACAGACCTGAAGAAAAACTTGCTTGGGGAAGGAGAGGTCTGGGAGAGAGAACTGGCTTGGGGAAGTTGAGGAAGAAAGAGAGAAGCAACTTTAGCAGCTTTCTGATTAAGTTATAGTCTCCTCTTCCTTTTCTCTCCTTTTTCTCTCTTTCCCCCCCTCTTTCCTACCTCTATTTCAATAAGCAATCAACATAAAATTATTAACGAGTTAGATTTTTCTTTTCCTTTTTTTTTTTTTTAGAACTAGTGTTTAAAAATCTAGAATGCATTTTTCACTTACAGCATAGCTCAGTTTATGCTAGCTACATTTTAAGTGCTTTTGTGGTGGTGGTTACCTTTTTACTTAGACTTTTTTTTTTTTTTTATGGTCCTGGGGATTAAACCCAGGGCCTCCAGCATACTATAGCAAGTGCGCTATTACTCAGCTATGCCCCCAACCCTTTTTATTTTTTAATCTTGAGATAGGGTTTTGCTGAGTTGCCCAGGCTGGCCTCAAACTTGCAAACCCTCTGCCTCAGCCTCCCAATTTGCTGTCTTTACAGGTGTGCGCTACTGATCCCTCTCAGTGGGGTTTTGAAGGAATAAACAGCAGGACATGGTGGCTGATGAGGAAGATGAATAGCAGGGAACAAAAGAAAAGAATTCAAACTGATTGCATGGTTGGGAAAGAAGCCTATTGTGCTGATTTTAGAAACCCAGATCTTTGGGCAGGTTTTTTTTTTTTTTTTTTTTAAGGAAGATGTGTTTAGGTTCACCATGGTATACAGTAGCAACAAAACTGAATTTTCACTGGAGTTAAGGTTCAGGCCTAGAAATACAAGCATGGGAGAAAACTGGTCACCTTCCCAGTCCCACCCTTCCTGAGAGTAGGCCCTCCTTGTATGTTGCCTGTTGGGTGAATGTTCCATGTCCACCACCCTCAGAAATAGCGCCTCAGGGCTGCCCTGGCTGTTTTTATTTTTCCTAAGACAACATATGAGTCTGTATTTTAATATAAACCTTTATTTATAGAAATCTGTGCATTTTATATAAACATATATTTTTATGTAAGTCTTTAAAATGTTGACAACTAATTCCTACTTTCCAAAAACACCATGTGGGCCAAACTAAATATGTCAGCTGGCTGGGTGTGGCTTGTGGACAGTCAGTCAGTAACCTGTGTTAGAGCTGCCAGTTTAAAGAGCTGTATCTTAAAAAAAAAAATAATAATAATCCAAGAAGTCTATTTGTATAAAAAGCCAAGGAAAAGGTAATAAATAAATTCAGAGGTGCTGAATTCATTGTCAGGCTTTTCTCTTAGTTCTAGTTCTAGGCTCTATGGGAGAGGACACTCCTAATCTGAGTGTTGGGCTTATGACATCTGCATGCTTATGACAGCAATTTCACTGCAAGATCACAATAGCTAAGGCTACTGGAAGCCGGACATAGTGATACATGGCTGTTTCTCAGTGACCTGAGAGGCTGAGGCAAGAGGATGGCAAGTTTGAGGCCAGCCTCAGCAACCTAATGAGGATATAAACAACTTAGTGAGACCCTGTCTCAAAATAAAATGGGCTGGGGACGTGGCTTAGTTGGAAGGCACTCCTAGGTTCAATCCTTACAACCACCCCCCCTCCAAAAAAAAAAAAAAAAAAGGATATTGGAAGAGAAGAATCCATTTCTTCTTCTTCCAGTTGAAACTCCTTAATGTCTATTGTTTTGGTGAAAAACAAAATGACTATTACTTTCAGGGAGATAGAAAGTCACTGAAATCTGGGTGAATAAAGCCAGGCCCTGGGAATTACATCTCTTTGGTAATATAAAATTGCAGGCTGCAACTCAGCTAATGGAAAGACTTCCCATTTGGGTAGCAATCAGGTTGTAATTGTAAAATGCTGATGGGGGCATGCACAGGGCATTGACCAGTGAAGCTGGAAATGAGACATCCTGTCTGACGCAACCCTCCCCGTCACCCAGTATGGTTGCCCGGGACACCCAGCCATCTATAATTAGAGTAACTACTAGGTGAACAAAGGCCACTCCTGTCCTCTTCTTTTTATAAAATCCTTTCTATTTTTATGAAATCAAGTCACAGGGAATAATTTTCTTTTTCTTTTCTGCGACGTCTTGACACTCAGAATGTGACCTGAAAAAGTTGGAAAACTGTGGACCAGCCTGGGGGGAGCCTGGGGGGAGCCTGGGGGAGAAGGGGGAACTGGGAAGGGCCAGGGGAGGTGGAGATGGGGAGGCGGAGGGAGATGGGTCACAATGTGAAGAAAGGAATCAGACTGAGGATTCCAGGGTGGGGGGAGGAGGTGGGGCTGCAGGGTGATTTCTGGGAAAGGAGATGATTCAACCTGGTGGGCAAACAGGGAGGTCCCCTGAGCAGAGGTCTGGCTGAGCA